CATGGGCCCTCTCAGGTGACAGCTCAGCAGTCTGACTCAGTTTGGCAGGTTCCTGTGTTCCTAAGTCTTAGGGATTAGTATTAGCCATGATGGCTGAATCCTCCAAAGGTGCCACTGGGTATCAGTGGGGGAGGCAACAGATGGACAGGGAAATTGCCTTCCATATCCTGCCTGTGGGCATCCAGTTGATGGGAAAGTGGATGCCGTCTTAGATGGATCTTTTGTCTGATCCCAAAGGGCGCTTCCTATGATTTCACTCTGCAGGATAAAACAAGATAAAAAGCTGTAAAGTACTTTGCACACTCTTGCCAAACTGATGCATAAACAGGGAGAAGAAAAACTATGGGCAGAACTGTTGCTAGTTCCTGAAAATTTTATTCCAAGCCTTGCCAAGTCCGTAGACTCTTTAAAGCAAAAAATCAAACCAAAGAAGCACATGCAATAAAACTGTGAAGAAAAAACTCTTTCATGTTTCAGAAGCCCATTTCCAACCCCTGTGGTGGTAAAAAAAAACTTGGCAAATGTCAGCATGATAGCAAAAAGATCTAAAGGCTTTGATCCAAAAATAAATAAAGGAAACTTTTTAAAGTAAGTTAAAATTCATGACATTGAAACAATCTTGCGGGGGGGCGGGGGTATGTTGACTCAGTGTTTTGCTACTCTGCTTAAGCCTTGCTACTGACAAGTTTATTCCATTTCTGTTAAAAGAGGAGGCATAAACTGAGTCTTGATTTTACATCTGGGGCAGGGACCAAAATAGTGAAAAGAAGGGGCAGGGCTAAGCTACATCTTAAACAACAGAGTCCCATGTCACCTTAAAGACAAATGCATTTATTCTGGCAAAAGGCCCATGGTGAGCCACTTGTAACCCTCCAGATGTTGTTGGTTGATGTAGCCAGCATAATCAATGGCAAGGCATTAAGGGAATGATGGTCCAACAGCACCTGCAGGCCGCAAGTTGTCCACCCCAGCATAAAGTTTGTTCTATAATTCCCAGCATAGCAGGTCAATGGCCATTCTGACTGAAGGGAGCTGAGAGCCTCAGGATGGGAAGACCACCATAAAGGTATTTGCTTATTATGTCTGCTGCAGGTGCTCTGGAACATCCCCCCCATAAAGCCCAGAATGGAATGAGACACACCGAAAGTAGGAACACCAATTTGACCAAGCCACACTTGGCTTTATTGTAGTTACATATGGCAGGGTACTTGACTGTGTCCTTTTCAACAACTCCTTGTCCAATATAAGTTTAATTACAGCTTCCATGCAATTTACATTCTCTTATTTGATTAACTGTGTATTTTAGCTGAGTAAGGGATATATATATATATATATATATATATATATATATATATACAGAGAGAGAGAGAGAGAGAGAGAGAGAGAGAGAGAGAGAGAGGATCAAAAAAGAAATTAGATATTAGAAATAATGTGTGATGTTCATAAGAATGTGCATATGGAGATTCCAGCTGGGTATACCCTTGTTACAGCAAGGTTAAGAGTAGAAGAAAGCCACACTGAGCACAACAGGGCTGGCTTCCAGGTAAGTGCATAAGGCTGCCACCTTACTGTGGCAGAAAACGTTAAATAGCCCAGAGGCCACTTTATCAGATGTATGAAATACTACCCTTAGTTGTCAGATACATGATATACACATGGGGATACAATGGGTAGGGGTCAGGATTGTAAACAGCAGGGGCAAAAGGTCAAGAAATGCACAAAGTCAATTCTTCTGTATTTCGTGGCCTTTTACCCCTTTAATTTCTTTTACACTCACGTGCTTGTATACCATACCTCCCAACCAACCCAGGATAACATTTTGTGCATCTGATAACAGAGGTTGTAAACCGAAACCTGCCAAGAAACAGAGGTTGTAAACCGAAACCTGCCAAGACTCAAGAATGCTTTATTGTCTGACCTGAAGCTGTCCCCACCGTAACCCCTCCTGCATGGGCACTTGTCAGTACTGTCAATGAGTCAAGAAAGACCATGAATGAGAAAATGAACTTCAGTGTGTGCTTTTTCTGTTTCATGGCTGTAATTGCCTCAGCCAGAAGTAAAGAACAGTACTGGCTATAGATCTTGGAGTAATTGTGGAGAATAGGCTAGACATGAGCCAACAATGTGATGCAGCCACCAAAAGGGCAAATGCTATTTTGGGATGCATTAACAAAAGTATTACTTCCACTAATCATGAGAAGTAGTAGTTCCCCTATATTCCTCCCTAATCAGACCTCATACTGTGTCCAGTTCTGGGTACCAAGATTAAAGAAGAATGCAGAAAAAATAGAAAGGGTCCATAGGAGGGCAACAAAAACAATCCAGGTTTTGAAAATACTGCTCTGTGAGGAGCAACTAAGAGAACTGGGCATGTTCAGCCTTGAGAAGAGAAGACTGAAGGGGGACATGGTGTCCCTCTATAACATGAGTCCTCAAACTACAGCCTGCGGGCCACATACAGCCAGCCATGCTCATCTATCCAGCCCGCCTCAGATCTTTTGGACTCGCTTGGAGAAAACAATCTCCGAGCGAGTCCAAAAGCTCTGAGCTGGTGCAGGCATTCTTTGAAACTGAGCAGAGAGCCAGCACACGGTCAGTCCTCCAACCGTCTGAGGGTCAGTGAACTGGCCTCCTGTTTAAAAAGTTTGAGGATCCCTGCTCTATAACGACCTCAAAGGCTGTCACAAAGAGGAAGGTCAAGATCTCTTCTTGCTGATATCAGAGTGCAGGACATGGAATAACCAATTCAAACTGCAACAACCCAGATTCAGGCTGGACATCAGGAAAAGCTTCCTCACTGTCAGAGCAATACAACAGTGGAACCAGCTGCCTAGAGAGGTGGTGGGCTCTCTCACACTAGAGACATTCAAGAAGAAACTGGACAGCCACCTGAGTGGGATGGTGTGACTTGGTGTCCTGCAACAGCAGAGGGTTGGACCCGATGCCCTTCATGGCCCCTTCCAACTATACAATTCTATGATTCTATGAAATCTTTTCAGAAAAGTTCCCAGCAAAAACCAAATTTGTGACTCTAGAAAGGAACTCCAAACTGATAATCTGGCAACAATGTCACCAGCAGTAGGCTCTATTTTTTCATACTATTCTTTTCAGGAGTAAATACTGCCAAAACAGACACTGGGGCAAAGTTTGGGTAAGTAAACACACCAGAAAGGGTCAACACTGCTGCAAACTATTGCCACCACCCCCTTAGGAAACATCTGCCATATGCCAAAGTAAATAATGTGCAAAGCCTCTACTATTGATCAGCATATTCACTTAATCCTTTTAAAAATCTGTGCTCTTCTGCCTTTATAAACTCCCTGGTGCCTTTCAGGTCACATGCCCCCCTTTTCAAGGGTAATTAATGAAAGAATTCAGAAAGCTGTAATCATTCAGCAACATCATGTCTCACTGTGTTCTCAGCTGCAAATTATTAGGTATAGTTCTTAATGTAGTGCACATTCTGGAAGTTTCTTCAGCATGTCAAGGAGCTTAAGTTTCCTGCTCTCATAATCAACAATCTTTTTCATAGAGAAAATGCAAAATCATGCAATTGCAGGCACACTCTCTAATCTTTTATACAAGTATATCTACTCTGAATAACTTATTTTATGTAAAAGTAAGGCTATCTGCATGTACCACTTGGTATATTTAAGCTGGAAAACTTACAACTTCTGCTCACTAAAAATGTCTATAACCCTTTTAAGAAATCTGTGGGAGAAAAAGGATCTCATGGGAGTAAATTCCATAACGTTGGCAGACAAAAGGTTTTCTTAAAGAACCACATCATTTCAGGCTCAAATGGTCTGAAAATGGGGTATCTTTTGTCAATTACTTTTGTATTTAAAGCCTACCTTGTCCATCAACTCATTTGACTAGGAAAAAGCAAGCCAACATGCCACTTCTTTTGATAAATGTGACACCAAAGAACAAACCATGTTTAGCTCTCCACAGAGTAAAGTGAGATACAAGCATAAACAACGAAGTTTCATTTTAAGAAATAAAGCTGAATTCTATTTGTAACTATAGTTCAGAACAGACTATTATCTACCTATTTATGTGACACGTTCACCTATCTGCAGGTGGAGGTGCTTGTGTAGGTGGGACAATCCTCGGCCAGCCCAGTGCCCTCGACCTGATGCACTCCAATTGTGTTGGGCTACAGCTCTTGAGTTGCCTGATGTAGGCTGGGGCTGATGGGATTAGTAGTCTAATACATATGGAGGGCACAAAGTGGGGAAAGGCAAGGAAGGCGGCACCTGTGCAGCCCGCCGTGTATTGTGCATTGGCCAAACTGTTGGGGGTCCAAGACTACAATACCGCCGGCAGGGTTACCTGGCTCTCCTGTACCGCTGGCCTGACCTCATCTCCTCTTCCTCTGATGCAGACTGGAGAGGAGCCAGAAAATTATCACTATTCCCCTCGCCTGACCTGACAGCTGGAAAGCGGGCTCCGCTCGCTGGCTCCGCGGGCGACCCAAGGAGCGGCTCTTTTACGCCAGTACGACAGCAGCAACTGCCGTTTTCTCACGATGGCTCCTTTAGCAATCCGTCCAGGCAGACGAGCTCGGCCTTACCATTGCCGGCGTCACCTTCTCTCTCCCCCGTTCCTGCTCCATGGAGGAGCTGGGCTACCCCAAGCAGGAGGAACACCTCGGACGCGCGCGAGCCGCCCGACTCGCCTTCGCTTTGATCTCACGGCGCTGCAAACACCTTGGAACGCCCCGGGCCGGTTGCCTAGGCGACGTTGTCAGCAACCTTCCATCCTAACGCTGCCGACGTTCGGAGCCCGCCCCCGCCGGCCGGTCTGCGCCAATCGCGCGGCATCCCCCCAACCTGCCGGAGGGGTGGCGGTGACGTCATGGCCGGTGAGCTCTCCCTCCCTCCTGGCCTCTTCCTCCGCCTGCTCGCTGGGCTCGCTGGCGGAGCAGCGGCAGCGGCGGCAGCGGGGAGCAGCGCGGGGCGGGAGGAGCGGGCCGGCCCTGCCCGCCCGCCCGGCGCAGCATGGCCAAGCACCACCGCACACCGGCGCGCAGCCCGGAGCCCGTCATCGAGGTCAAGAGCAAGGTGAGCGCGCCCACCGCGGGGTGGGGCAAGCACGGATGGGGCAGCCTGCCTTGCCCGGGCGCCGGGCAGAGCCTGCGGGCTGGGCTGCGCCTGCTTCGCGGCGCCGCCGCCGCGGGCTTCCCCAACTCGGCGGCGGTTTTGCAGACTCACCGAGGGAAGATCCGCTGCCCGGGTCGCGCCAGTGGCGCTCGCCCTCCTGGGGGCAGCCTTGATCCGCCTTCGCAGCAGGTGCACCGGGCAGCGGGCGCCTCCCCCTCCGCTCCCTCCCCTCCGCTCCCCGCCGGGCTTTCGGCTGCCATCGCGGCTCGACGGGCTTCGGGGGTTGTGCGCGCGACGCATCCCCCGCGCCGTCCCCCCTCTTCCCTCGCCTGTCCCGGGCGTCTGCTGTGCGCCTCGCCCGGCCTAGTGGATCGTGGATGGCGGCGGGCGATTGTTTGGGCCCCCTCCCTTGCCTCGGCAGTGCGGAGACTGCCAGGCAAGAGGATTACCGCGCTCCGAGCCGGAGGGCTTCTGCCTCCCGCCGCTCGTGCCTCCGTGCGCGCGCGCTCCTGAGGAGGGAGATGCCCGCTTCTCCCGGGAAGGCACCTGGGACTCCCCCGCGGCCGCGAGCGATTATGCAACGGCGAGCAGAGCCGGGCTGCGGCGCCCCTGTGGCATCGGGGCCTCGGGCTGATCCCGCCGGGAGTGCCGTGGCCCATTCTTGCTCAGAAGTGATGGGAGGCGGATATTTGTGTGGTCGGTAAGGGATGCGGTTGGTAACACGCCTTTGGGCGCGCAACGGCAGACAAGGGAAGGGGCCCTCGCTGTGCAACACCCTCGTTCCCCACAAAAACCATGAGAAACGAGACGTCGATTCCCTTCCATCTCGGACTGGCCCTGACGGAATTCCACAGTTGATGGTCGGCCAACTTTCCCTTGAGATTTACTTGGCCTCTGAAAAGGGGCACCCCTTTGCCACATGGAGCTGGGACAAGACCCCAGGCATTACCAGAGCATCCCCTGATGTTCAGGTTGTGCTTCTCCAGGTAAAAGGATCAGGTAGCAGGTAAAGGCCTTAGATGAGAGCCCCTCTCTGGTCAGGTGCCACCAGTTGTTTCAGACTACATCCACCATCACTCCCACCCATCACAGCCAGTGGCAGAAGGATGGGAAATGTAGTCCCAAGTGAGTAGTGGTGACATGAGATGGGGGAAGGCTGAGTTAAACTCTGGAATGATTGTCCGCCTTGCTTGGATGTGTTTCCTGCAATTGGTTCAGTGACTCGCACCTGCCATCAAGCAGCTCCCTGTATTCACTGTGCCAAGAGTGGCCTTCCCTTTCTGCCTGTTTGCTTATGCTAATGTATTGTCCACCTTTAAGAACGTAAACCTTTCTGAGGCAGCTTACAAATTCAAGTTGAAATGCAGTAATTGCTGATCACTATCCTCACCATACAGTAAGGAGAGGGCAATAAGGCCATGCCAAGATTAAAAAACAAAACAAAACACATCCTACAGGCAGACAATGGTGGATGGCACCACCAGTGGGGCAGAACAGCCCACATTCCAGGGCCAGCATTTCTCCCCATTTGGGGGCATGTCAGAAATAAATTTGTAGCAGACTCTTGACTGGAGGGACCGTCCTGGACAGACAGGGCCTGAGCAGCAGAAGGTTCCTTTTATGCTCCTCTGGACCAAGCTTGTGGTCTGTCTGCTACCAGGCAGCCTTCCCAATCTGGCCCCTCCAGATGTAGGCCAACTCTCACCACAGCCCAACTGCCCTTGAGCAAGGATAGGGATGCATATCCCCCTCCAAATGTCGTTAGACTACAACTCCCAGCATTCCTCATCGTTGGTTGTGTACTGGTTACACCTGCTGCAGTTGCAACGCAACAAGATCTGGAGAGACACACATCCCCCACCCCAGAGAGAAGCTGTCCTGAAATGGGCCCTCTGCAATGGGAGTGTGGTCTCATGCAAGAGTGGATTTGGATTTGGGAGGGGGAAATGGGAGAAAATGAGGCCGAGGAGGAAAAGTGGCCAGGTTGGTCTACGGTCCTGTGAACATTCTCAGTTGGACCCCCATCCTGGACTGTAGAGACTGAAGCACAAGCAGGCAGCTTCCCCACTAAGATTTCCTCTTGTTCTTAGGCATATCCATCCACGTTTCTCTTCTCAGTTCCTCTGCAGTGCCATAGCAGGCTCCTGCCTGCCCCTAAATTAGTCTTTGTCAGTTCATTGTACCTCTGCATTAATTAGGAATAAGGCCTCTGAGTACCAAAGCAGCGCAGGAAGATGGACCTGGTCTGTCTAGCCCAGTATTGCTGACACTGAACGGCAGGGGCTCTCCTGAGCTTCAGGCAGGAATCTTTCCCAGCCCAACCGTCAGATACTCGGGATTAAACCTAGCACTTTCTGCATGCAGAGCATGTATGCTGTAAGTTATTCTAGTATTAGACCACAGATGTTCTTTGTTTGCAACTTTGCCTTTTAGTGGCAGAAAATTACCCTCTTGGGGAGATGCAATCCAATACGCAAGTGCCAAGGACTTGTGCATATTTTGCTTTCACTTCCATTTCAGAAAATGCCTGCCCTGGGTTTCAGGGCCCAGAAGGGCTCTCCAGTAGCATGCTAAATTAAAAATAGAAAAATGCAATACAAATGAGGAGATATAACAAATGTAGCTACAGATAGAAGAATAAGGAGATGATATTTAGGTTAATAGTGTTTAAAAATGCAATTGCTTCTTCCAAGAGGATAATCTAGTTACAGGATTGAGGGAGATGTCGGCAGTTGGTTAAACATAAAAGAAAGAGAACCCAAACAATCGGAAGCATTTCTCAACCTCTGTTATCATGATCAAGTAATTAGCCACGAACATAATTTGTACCCACACCCTGCACAGGTGGGAAAGGAAGGTGCCTTGCCTCTCTACTAGCAGGAAGACATGGTATCGCCCTATGCTGGCTGTGCTTGGAGTCACACTGTTTTGATCACAGGATATGAACTAGTAAAGTAACAAAGGAAAACATGCATCAATGAGACCTCACCTAACCTTTTAACATAGGTTAGGAACTGTGCCCCTTCAGATGTTGTTGGACCATCACCATGGTCAACAGTCATGTATGATGGGACTTGTGATCTCTGAAGAGCCACAAATGCCTCATTCTGACTTATAATGACAAAATAATCCCTTAGGGTGTAAGCATGAGACAACTTCTGCCCTAATGCAGAAGAGTCCTTAGTGAGGTCCCCAAGCACCTGTTTTTTAAGAGTACAAAAAAGAGGCTCTTTAGTCCTGACACTTGTGTGTGTAAACTTTTGAGTTGTATAGAACCCTTCATCAGGTTGAATGAAAATTATACAGGATTAGTCCCAGAACCCCAAAATCCTATCTACTGATTTGTCCTACAGTAAGGTTAGGGGTCTTAACTTTCTGGCATATTAAGGGCTCTGCAGAGGTTCCCCCTCCCCTCCAAGACAGGATCTGAGTATTTTTGTACTTGGGGAGAAATATTGACCTTCAAAGGGCTGTTGCCATGCAGCAAAGCTTTGCTGAATTTATTGGGCAATGTTAAAAGCTTGCTACTTTCCCTTTGACCATCTCTTCCTCTTGGACAGTTTGATGCCGAGTTCCGCCGTTTTGCTTTGAAGCGCTCAAATGTGGGCGGCTTCCAGGAATTCTACCAGCTGATCCAGAGGGTTCACCAGATCCCCTGTCTGGATGTCCTGCTTGGCTATACAGATGTTCATGGTGACCTGCTACCCATCAACAATGATGACAACTACCACAAGGCACTGTCATCTGCCAATCCTCTGCTCCGAATCATCATTCAAAAGCGAGGTAAGCGCTTGTTTGTCTCATGAGCCCAGCATGTTCTTTATGTTAGCTTTCCTGTGTTTTTTCAGCCTGCCATTTGTTCAAGGAGCTCAGGGTAGTGTAGAGCAAAAGCTGGCAGATGGTCGATCATGGTCCACTGGTAGAGATCTGGGTGAATTGCAAAAGATGAGCAAAGGTTCCCGACTCCGAGTAGCTTAACAATATCCAATCAATTACAAGCAAAGAATTTGCAGCTATGATCAGGCGTCCGTGAAAGTCCTTCTAGACCATTTTAAGGCTGTTTCAGGTCCCTGATCTAGATCCGCCTTGGCCAACCCAGAACCCTCCAGGTGTGTTGCATTCCGTTTCCTATCATCTTTGTCTGTTGACCATTCTGAATGGATCTGATGGAGCTGTAGTCTAAAATGTTTCAAGTGTCAGATTGAATTCAGGTTAATTAAAACATTTTGATTGATTTAAGATCTTGATTAAGATGCTACCTTTGCATAGGGAAGCAGATTATAATAATTATTATATTTCCTTCATAATGCAAATTCTTGTAATATTTGCAGGCAGTACATATCATCTTAGACAATAGCTTCCATCTCATGTATGAGAGAAAAGGGAAAGTCATATTTCTAAGAATGTATCTGCTGCAATATACGGTTCCATAATCGAACACAATGTAGTCCAGCACCTCTAGAGGACACAGGAAAGCTAAGCTAGAATAAGTCAGATGCACATTTCTTTTTGTAGGTAATCCCAAACTGTGACTTGATTCAAGTGATGGCCAGCATGGTAAACCAGCCATGGTGCCCATCCATGGCCGCCATATATCAGCCCAGTTACTCCACTGGCATCACTTTCTGTGATGTCCAAAACTGGAAAGGGAGGTTCTTGCCGTGGTTAACAAACCACCCAGAGACCATGAGCTGCTTACTGGTTCTAAACCCATGACATCAGCTTTGGACAGTCTTTTCTGGGCTTTGGACAGTATGCCCTACTGAGTCAAAGTGGCCAACAAGGCCAGCATATGCAGTGTGGCTAACAAAACACTAGCTTGTTTACTGTACTTGTGATCTCAGAGAGTCTGCAGTTTCATGTGCAGTGGTAGATAATTGGCCCTGCTCTCTTAATCACCATTTTACCTCCACCTTCTTCTGGCCTGCACCACTATGTGGTTCCAAGTGGGGGTAGACCTTGGGGTTGTAGTAAACCCCCCAAAAGTAGGCCCCACAAGACTGAAGCTTGTCTCCCTTTGGTTTAGAGGCCTGGGCAGTGTACAGTCTCCTATGGACTCATCCATTTAACCCTCCAACAGCCCTGTGGGGTTGGACAGGGGAAAGTTAAGTGACACCCCCTGAATTCTGTACAGGCATGGGGATTTAAACTTGCGCCTCCATGTTCCTCATCTGACACTCTTAAGCAGCCTCCCCCAACCTTTTGCACTCCAGATATTCTGGACTGCATCCCTCATCATCCTTTCACATTGACTGTGCCAGCTGGGGTTGATGGGAATTTTAGTCCAACAAATCAGGAACGCACCAGGTTAATGAAGATGTCTCAAGCCTGCACTGCACTGGCTGTCTGCCAAGGGCTATTACCCAACCCTAACCCTAACCCAAGGAGATCAGGCTGGATAAGCTGTGTTAATATTCTTGCAAAAAAATTTTGGCGTGAATTCTAAGAAACATTGTATGTATATATTGTGTAAATGAATTAGCAAGTAACTAAACAGAGCAACCAAGCTCTGCTTCGTCTTGCTTGTAAAATTCCATTCCTCTCTTCTGGAATGTGTTTAAGCCTGTCTGTGCAGGCAAAGGGACTAGTAACATGGTTTGCTAATGCGCTGGGGCTGGGCTGTCTGAGTATGAGGGTCCTCGTGCCAGGATACCAGAAAGTTCCCAAAAAGTCACCATTTTAAACCATAGACAAGATGGGATGCTTGTGATCCTGTGAATTCTAGACAAATGTCAGGCCACCAATTAACTTTTTTAATACTGACCCAACTTCAAAGACTTTGGCCACCCAATGAGAAGGAAGGACTCATTGGAGAAGACCCTGATGCAGGGAACAATTGAAGGCAAAAGGAGGAGGGGAAGGCGGAGGGTGAGGTGGCTGGATGGAGTCACTGAGGAAGTGGGTGTGGGTTTGGGTAGACTAAAGGGAGGGTGGAGGACAGGAGAGCCCGGAGGAATGTGGTCCATGGGGTCGCGACGGGTCGGACGCAACTTTGTGACTGAACAAAAAATAAATACCAACCAAGGTGAGGATAAAGGATAAACTACATACATTTGTTTCTCCTTCTGTAATTGGGTTTTTAAAATAAATAGCTAATGTGGGAACTGTGCTGTGGCGAGCTTTAGCTTTTCCCTCTGCCGTGTCCCCTGTGGGACTCTTTGGTTCCCCACCATGCCTGCTGTTCACAATGGTATTGGAGTGACCTTATTTGACTTTCTCCAATCGCAAATTTGAATTCCTTGAATGGAAGTAAGTTGGAATATAAATATAATTATTAAATAGCAGGCACTGGGATGTGGATACAGTTTCAGCTGGGAACTGAGGAGGGGAAAGGGCTGAAGCCCCTTGCCTTCCATGCCACAGTCCTGTTCCAGCTCCCCAGTTCCCCACATGACACCAGTTTTTTTTTTTTAAAAAACAGCTACACAAAGGCAACTGTGTGATAAACATCACATTTAGTTTGGCCCTCAGTCTACAGTGAGAAGTTTTCTGTGGCATTTGTGCTGTCTGATCATGTAGCAAGACCTCCTCGATGTTCTAGGCTCCCCACGTGATGTGGAACCCCAATTTTCCAGGGTTCCACATCGCACAGAGCAGAGGAAGCGCCCTCCTCGGAAGCAGCCTATCCCGCTTGTGGAGGGCTGCAACAGGGAATGACAAAACCCTGCACATTCTCCCCCTTCTCCTCTAGTTTCATCTACACAGTGTTATGTATTTATTTACAACCCCACTCTTCAGGCCAAAATAAGCTGCTGGAGCAAGTTATAAAGATTAATTATATGAATCCCTGTCCATCTGGCTTACATGTGACTCAAAAGAACAGGAATTGGAAGGGAGGAACAAAACAGCTCCCCCACCCCAAAAAAACAAAACAAATTCTGGCACTAGTTTTTGTTTACAATTTTGTTAGAGCTGTTCTTCCTGGCAAGGGGAAACAAGATCCCTAATACTGGCCCTTCTTTGGCTGATGTATGCGGCCAGGATGGTCACCCCGTGGCCATGTTGTTCTTCCTGGGAGGCAGGGGTCCACCTGCCCAGCGACCCTTCATTCTCTGATTGATGGCTGTTGTTTCCTAACTTGGTATCCTCCAGATGTTGATCTCCAACTCTCACTATCCCTAGCCAGCGTGGGATGGGAGTTTTAGTCCAAAAGTTCTGGAGGGAACCAGGCTGGGCAAGCCTGAAACACTTAAAAATAGAACTGCTTCTGGTGACGTGCCTTCTGAAAACTGTGGAACTTGTACAAAAAAAATACATTTTGCCTCTCCTCTCCTCTGCGCCTGAGTCATGGGGTCCTTTGCACACAGAAGCTGCTGTTGCATGGCGAGTCGGGAGATGCTGAGGCCTTGGAAATGGCCGGGGCCCCCCGCTGGCTCCCCAGGCTGCCCCTCCTCCTCCTCACTGTCTGTTCCTGTTCAGAAGCTCCACTCACCTTCGTCTCCTGGCCTGGGTGTGCCGCCCCCTGGCCTGGGCCAGGTGGGGGAGGGTGATGGGCTGGGTGCTGCTGACCAGGGCGAGGAAGACGTGGGACCCACCCAAGGAGGGAGGCTCATGAAGGGCATCTTGCCCAAGGATCATGCAAGACTCAGAGCCCACATTGCCTGGAACAGCTGCTGGAAGGGAGCGGAGCGGAGCGGGAAGACTTCCCACCGTCTCGCACGGCCTCCCTAGGCTAAAAATAAGCTGCTGTACCAAAAACACGGTGCGATATTTATAACTCTGGAACGCTTTCTGGCAAGCAGTGCGCAACAAGCGGTGCGCTGCCTTGGCCTTGGGACCTGCCAGAGCCTTTCTGGTTTCCACTGGTGAAACATTCTGCTCTGGCTAGACTTCTGCAACGTGGAGCCCTCCAGGTGTGTTGGGATACAGTTCCCATCATGGCTGGGGAAGCTAGGGGGTGCAGTCCACATCTGGAGGGCACCAGGTTGGGGAAGGCTGTGCTTCAGGCTCCAGGGTACACGCAAGGGGCCACTCTGCATGGGCACACACTCCTAAACAGTGCTTCCCTGTTGCCCGTGGCGAGCACCAGTCTCCTCTGGGCAACCGGACGAGGTGAAATTGTAACTGGGGCAGGGCCGGCTGCTTGTTTTTGGTTTCTCAGGCTGACTAAAATGACTGGAGAAGCACGTGGGCTCATAAAAATGTTGCGTGTGGGCTGGGCTGCACTTTGCGAGGTGGTTTGGGCGGATTGCGCAACGGGACACGCTCCTCGGGGCTCCTGCACAGGCGTTCCAAGGCTCTGCCGGCAATTGCACTGGCGCGTCCGGTGGCTTCTCTGTCTTAGACGGGTTCAGGGCCTGGGTGCCACTTTGTTCCCAGCTGTTAACGACAGCATTGTGTCGGAATGAACGCTTGAACCTGTTCCCGGGTGGCAAGTCTTGTTTTCGCATGTCCCTCTCACAACACGAGCATCTCGGGACTCTTCAGGGGAGGGAGCGAATCATCCCGCCTGCTTGGTGCACCTTTGAGGCTAACGAGGCATCCTTGCTTGTTGGAGAGGCCTCTGGATGGGAGCACCGGAAGCCGCCATACCCTCAACCGGACCGAGGGTCCATCGAGCCCAGTATCATCAACACTGAGTGGCAACAGTGGCTCTCCAGCGTTTCTGGCAGGGGTTTTTCCAACCCTACCCGGAAAAGATGAGGATTGAATCAGTGACGCTCGGGCAGGGGCCCTGCCACTGAGCCAGAGTCCTTCGGCTGTTTGAGACCACTGACCTTTCCTTCACCCCACACCACATTTTTTCTGTTCTTTCAGTGGCCCCCATATACCAGGTTTAAAGATGTATAAAGCACATCTTTCTATACACAAGTGATTTTTTCTATGTCGTATCTTTTTATGTTACGACATTCCATGGCTATTCTTATTTTCAATACATTTTTATCCAGCCCTCCCTCCAAATGCTTACATGATGACAGAGTCATAGCACAGTAGCGTTGGAAGGGGCGGAGGGCCACTGGGTTTGACCCTCTGCTAAGTTTCACTCCAGGTTAAACCATCCCTCTCAGCTGGCTGTCCAGCTGCATCCAGAATTTTCCCAGGAATTGATGTCAGACTGATTGGTCTGTAGTTCCCAGCTTGTTCTTGTTTACCTTTCCTGATGATAAGGACAGTATTAGACCTCTTCCAGTTATCTGACCCTTCCCCATCCTCTATGATTTCTCAAATATAATAGAGTGGTTCTGAGAGTTCTTCCACCAGCTCCTTTATGAGCTCTGTAGATTTGAACTCACTCGATCCAATTAGATGATCCGTGACCATTTGCATATCATTCCTGAGCTGTCATCCTGCTCCTTCAGCTTGTGCTTCCCCTTCATCAGGAAGGTCAGAGATGGCTACCATTTTTGCCAAACCAACTCTTATTTCATTGACTGAAACTCTTGGGACTAATTGGCTCAAATTTTTAAGATAGGTGGCAGCCAGGCCTGGATGCAAGCAGCTCCTGAGAGAGCACCAAGTTTCTGGAAGACAGAGTGGGGTCCCTCTCCTCCTGCCATGTCTGCAAAACCTGCCCATCCCAACCTGATGCCTTCCAGATGTGTTGGAATGCTACTGGAATCATCCCTGGCCCAACATTTGGCCCAACACTAGATCTAGAGGACACAGGCTCCGGAGTCGGCTGTGCGTAGCGGCCAGGGGCTTCCTTGTTGCAGCCTGGCAGCCCTTCCTGCTGACTCCTTAATCTTTTATGGACAGACACCTGCCCCCACAATGCTGAGCTACTTGGTGGCAGGCGGCTTTGCGGGGGGGGGGAGGGTGTCTAGGAAAGTGACCCTCTGCTGAGTCAGCCACCCTGATTTCTGCAGAGCCAGTTAGAACGTAGTGACGTGACATTTGTCAGTTCCTGTCCAGCCTCTCCGTCAGTGGGCCATGAAGGGGACCGTGCATCTGCCAGGCCGTCCCCTGAGACTGATGGCTTCCTCCCTCTCTGCTGGGCCAAGGATGACCATCTTATTAAGGGGCCCTTGCCGGGAAAAGGAGCATAGGCCAGGGAGAGAGGTCGTTTCCAGAGGGGTACGTATATTATTCTGTTGCAGCAAAAATGGCAGAGTCTTTTGGCCTCATAAGGGCTAACAAATTCTTTCTGCAAAAGCTGGAGCCAGAGTATATTTGCCAGCCCTTAAGGTGGGGGTGCAGAGAACCTTTCTGCCCGATGGTCAAATTCTGTTGCAAAGAAGCTCCTGCAGGAAATGAAGAAGGTGCATTCCAGCAGTGAGCAAGGCTGAGGACAAAAGAAGCAAGACAAAACCACCAGTGTATTTTAAGCAAAAGATTTCACTGCTAGTAAGCCTTAAGAGAGGCATTTCAACCTTTTAGAATCAGGGATGGCTTCTTCTGACCTATCTTTACATGCATTTTCACTGGGTTTACCATACGGGATTGCCAGTTTTCAACAATAAACCCAAGAAATGCTTATATGAGTGGGAGGGAGGGAGAGTGGGAGGGAGGGAGGGAGGGAGAACACATATGCATGCATGCAGAGTGTTACTCTGTCTAAATACTAATCAGAGCCGTTTTAGATTAACATATTTAACACAATCAGCATATGGAATGGGAAGCATGACAAGGTGTCTCTCTCCACCTTCCCAGTCTTACAGAGCTGGCAGACAAAATGTTTGCATTAATGTGTTCTGAGTTGTGGTTATTCCTGACAAATTCTTTCAGAATTCAGAGGTGCCTGGCGCCAGTTCCGCCATCGGATTGAGGCACTCAGTTCGAGGGACTGGCAATGGTGTAGAGGAGAAGACCTGGGTAGATCCCGTGTGTTTGCAGGGGCAGCAGAGGCTGTGCCGCACTCTGTGTATTCTGGGCTGCTCGCACCCAAGTCAAGTCTGCAGCTCAAAGTGCGATTCAGGCTGAATTTTGCATTCCCCCTTTAATTCCAGCCAGCAAACCATGTGCAATCCTGGCAGAGGCTGAACTTCAGTGCACTTTCAGGCAGTACACAGCCAGGTATGGGGTCAGGATCTTACCTGTGCTGTGTACAAAAGAGTGGAAAGGGGGGAGCACTACTGCAAAGCAGGATGAGGCCAGCTCAGTATCTTCTTGTGGTGCTCAGCAAAATGGAGGCCTAAGCTCTAGTATGGAGACAGTGCTGCAGCCCTCATGCTCATGTCTGGTCTGTGCAACGCTGCCAGTCTCCAAATGTAATCGGTGGCTCCCCCTGTTGTAGCATTTCCTAGGCACATACAAGCAGGTGCAGATCCAACAAAGGGAGTCACCTCTATCATTCCACACTTAATGGCAGAAAAGCAAGTACAGGAGTTTTGTGCAATGTATGCAAGGGATTCACCCTTCAGTGGTGAGTGAAGTTTATGGTCTAAAGCTCTTGCAGGACTTACAAAATGCCACATCAAGCCAATAGTCTGTTTCTCACTGCAAAACACACTTGCATTCAGATGCTGTCAGTCATAAATGTTTATGCCACTGCACAGCATCGTAACTCCCAAGCTGTCCAGTGTTTCAAGTTCTAAGATTTTGAGAGGCACCACTCCAAAGGCAGAAAGAAATCAGCTAGCAAGCCACATACAGGTATAGTAGGAAAGCCTGTTATTGTAGACTGAGATGGAAATCTAGCACCTGGCACCTGCTTCTGTGAATTAGCTTGCAGGAAGGAAACAAGTAAGGCTACTCTTAAACTGGTCATGCTGGAGTACGTGTCTCCATGTGTTAATACCATTTTCCTACCTTGGGTGTTCTATAGGGCTGGAAAGGCAGGACAAACTTATCTCAGCAGAGAGATAGCGTGCTTTGGCTGGGTGTGCATGGTCAGGAACCTGCTGAGGGCTCATCTCCCAGTCGAGCCCTGCTGGTAGGAACTCCCTTGCATTGCTGTTCTTTGCTGTTGGAACCTGGTGCTCACCTGGAGCTGGCACTGATGTTAGGAACCCTGGAGGGATGTAAGCCCTGGTGTGGATCAGGATGGTGGAATGGCAGCACTGGGGGGACAAAGAGGCAGAACCAAGGGATAGGAGCATCTGGGGAAGAAATGTGTGGTGTGAGCAGCGCATCTGATCGGCCCTTGCTTTCCCACTTTCTTGCAGCAGAAGCTGACAGCAGTGTCTTTGCCTCCAACTCCCTGCAGCGGAAAAAAAAGGGGCTCTTACGGCCGGTGCACCAGCGGGCCAAGCCCCACTTGCTGATCGGCATGCCCCAGGACTTCCGGCAGATCTCCTCCATCATCGATGTGGACATTCTCCCCGAGACCCACCGCCGGGTGCGGCTGCATAAGCACGGCTCGAGCAAGCCGCTGGGCTTCTACATCCGGGATGGGGTCAGTGTGCGCGTGGCCCCCCAGGGGGTGGAGAAGGTGCCCGGCATCTTCATCTCTCGCTTGGTCAAGGGGGGGCTGGCCGAGAGCACGGGGCTGCTGGCTGTGAATGACGAAATCCTGGAGGTCAACGGCATCGACGTGGCAGGCAAGTCGCTGGACCAGGTCACGGACATGATGGTGGCCAACAGCCACAACCTCATCATCACGGTCAAGCCCGCTAACCAGCGCAACAACGTCATCCGCAGCAGCAAGGCCTCGGGCAGCTCCGGGGTGTCCACGGACAGCACCCCCAGTCAGCAGACGCCCAGCCCAGCCTCCCAGTATCTCAGCAACTGCAGCACGGCGGAGGGCGAGAGTGATGAAGAGGGCGACTTGGTCATCGAGAGTGACCTGCCGGCCAGCTGCCCCAACGGGGGCCTCCTCGAGAGTCTGCAGCACAGCCTGTCTCTGTACAGCTCTCAGGGCTCGCTGCCCTCCCTGAACAGTCACAGTGGCAGTGGCAGCCCAGTCCGGGGCAGCCGTGCGGGGAGCCTCCGGGAGGACGGTACAGTCCTCACCCTATAGCCCCGGGCCTCACCACTCCCACCCCACCCCACCCCACCGTGTCAGAATCTCAACATTTCTGAGGTCAGTTTGGCGGCGGCCTCCTTGCTGGACAGTGGAGCTGCAAGACAGAGCCCCCCCACCCCGGATTCCGAAATACGACCCTCCCGTGCCATCACCGATGCACCGCCTGCACGCCCAGCGGCTCTCCCTGCAGCTGCTGCAGCCATGGCAGCAAATGGAATTGGGAGTCACCAGTGTTGGCCCGTCTTCCCTGAAACGTTTGTCACCCAAGAAGTCCCACCCTGTCCCCACTGAACGCACGGGCCAGGAATTTTACTACTCCCCCGTTCCCTCTGTTCAAGTCAACCTTCCCCCATGGGTGTTCCAGGCAGAACTGGGGCCTGCCTGCCCTGCAGCCCGTGGCCCCTGCCACTACCGACCACCAACTCTCATGCCGCGTTTGGGATTTTGTTGTTTCTTTTTACGATAACATACATCACAGATTAATATATTGCAACAGACTATTAAACTTTTTTTTAGGAACCATGTTTTTACGTGGTTTATGAAGCATGTTGCAGGGCTGCAGGGTGGGTGGGACACAAGATGAAGGACATACGCAAAGGACTTAACATCCCCTGCTGGGCAACTGGGATCAGAGTGTGGGGTCCCGATTCGAATTGGTAGTGAAGCAGGTTTGATTAGCTCCAGCTCAGCGTGGCATGTAAGCAAGCCAGTGATCTTTCTGTCAAGTGCTAGTGAGGCCCACCTGGCATATGAAGGCAATTGGTTCCTAACTCTCTGCTATCTTTTTCCCACTCTAAATACATTCTCATTGGTTTTAGCTTCTCAAAAAACAAAGCATACCCGTCAGATACTGGAGTACAGGAAAGAGCTACAGCATAAGAGGTGTAGATTAGCTTTCAGCTTGAGAACCAGATTGCATTTTGCAGAAGATTTCAGGGGCTGCATTGTGGTGGTGGATGGAACTGAAGGGGAGGCCAAAATATCAGCATATTTCATCTGGAAGTTCTACAGACCGTAATTAAGCCTTAGGAGAGGAATTCTATCCTATTAGGAGGGTGGGGGGAACTGCACACAAGCAAAGACACAGCCAAGCAATTCATGGTTGTGGGAAGGAAGACATGCCCTCCTCGGAAACTGTTAGCAGGCTGGATTTGGTCCCAGGCCTAAAGTTCTGCACTGCTAATATATACTTACATTGGAACACTTTCCAATTCAGGCAACACTTATTGAGTAGAATCAAAATGATTCTTTTGTGGCGCAGATATATTTAGGGCTGAGCTTTGACAAGTTAAAAAAAGACTGAATTGGCAAATGGCATCTTATCAAGGCACAGTGGAGGAACTTTAAAACCTTCATTTGGTTACAGCACCATGCTATAGATCTTCACTCAGAAATCAGTCCCATTGAATTCAGTAGGGCTTACCACCAAATAAACATTTTGGGGATTGCAGTCTTAGAGCTACAGAAAAGTTACTTGAGCACAACTATGCAACACATTCATGGTTGATAACAAAAGCAAGTTTAGTTAACTGCCATTGTCACAGGTACACTAAGTGTAATCGGTTGCGGTAGCCATACATAGAAAAGGACATGATCTTACCTGGTTTTGCACTGTACCTCCAAAACCCAGCCCAAGGTCCCAATCTCCTGCTTCAGGGTTGGAGTAGAGGAAAAGGAAAAAACCAGTAGGCTCATACAACTCTGATGCAGCACGCAACTCCTGGGAGCATTAAAGGAAGAACTTAAGAACCACACTGGATCAGAACCGCACTCGTCCAGTATTCTGTTCACACAGTAGCCAACTGGCTGCCTAAGGGAAAACACATAAGTGGGACATGGGAGTAATAGCACCCTCACACTCATAATCCCCACTAACTGGTATTGAGAGGCACAGGGCTTTTCTTCACAAGGTTGTTTTGCTGCAGAATTAGGATCTGAGCACTACATGAAGAGGGTTTCCTTTTGCTACCTCTAGGTGGCACTGTGGTGTAGCAGACTAGCACAAGCACTAGGAAATGGCACTTTTGCTTTCACAATTAAATGCCACATTTCCCTGCAAGAGTTCCTTAGGCACAGAAGTGAAACTGGAGGATCACGACATCATCTAAAGAATGCATTAATAACCATGAGTAGCATACAACAAATGTCTCACACAAAAAAGCCCATCCAGCCTCTTATTGAATGTCACACAGCACATTGAGGACCAGGAGTCATTGACAGATGTATCCTTCATGACTAATTCCCTTTTATGGTGGTCATCACAATACTTCATATTAGAAAACTCCATAGTTTAACTATGTGTTGTGTGAAAAAGTCATTTTATCTGACCAGAATCTGCCACCTATCAGTCTTCCTCCTCTCTAGCTCCAAGCTCAAGTTAGAAGCTGCTGGGGCTTGTACATGTCAGGCCGCATTTCCGAAGTTGTCACAGCTCTTTGGAAACAACATGGAACTGTGAGAATCCTATCTAGTCCTTCCCCACGATCAAAGTTGGCACAAAGGCCAGAAGGGACAGACACTGGTCCTGCTCACAGGAGGAGGATGCTGGGACCTTAATCTCTGGGAGCATGGTGAGGATGAAAAGTTGGTGGATCAGAGCCCAAAATTGGGTTTGTGGCCATCCCAAGGTAGGACAAAATGGACATGACTGTCATTTTCTGTTTGCTATTAAGAGAAAGCAGAAAGATGTGGGGGGAAAGGAGGGGAATGAAGCACTGGGAAAATGCAAAGAAAAAAATGGGCATATGTAATCAGTGCACATCAAAGTCAGTTCCATGCTGCAGGCTAGTGTTCAAAGGTGGGTCCCAAGTCTGAAAATGTTGAAAACTTACTGAGCCTTTTGTTGGTAATGCTTTGGGTAGCTAATCTCCATTATGTGCAAAAAAATCATATCCACTAGCAAAGAGAGCTTATTCCAACTTCAATAATAATGAACACAAATCTGCATGATGATGCAAATTATGTAGCTTATGCAAATGTAATGCTGATCTGAATTCTCCCGGGGTACTGTCTTTTGCTTCATGATCCGCAATACCTGCTGGCAGGAAGAGTATAAATGCGTGGGGATGGGAGGGGAAGATGGGGTGCATTGCTTCACAGCTTACACTAGGCTTTCACACTGGAAGATCTGTAATGGCCTTTAATTTTCTAGAGAGTAGCAATTAATTCGCAGGAAAACCCAATAAAGATAGCACTTCCATACATACTTATATGCAGTGCTGCAGAAGAGATGAGGCTTGAAAGATGCTGCTGCCACAGCCTTGTATCAGCAGACAGACCAACATCATCTGCTGCCACCATGCCTTCCTCAAAGCTCCCTGTTCCCTCTGAGTTTAGCTGCAATCCTCACAGTAGACTGGAGAGGAGGGCAGTAATGTTCCCAGAAACAATGTGGTGTGGCAGTTAAGACTGCTGAACTGGGGGCCTGAGAGATCTGGGTACTAATCCCCACTCAACCATGAAGCTCACTGGGTGACTTTGGGCCAGTCACTTGCTGTCAACTGAACCGACCTCAGAGTTAGTGGTGTGATGGTAACAGTGAAGAGAACTATCTAAATTGTCTTGGGTTCCTCACAAGAGACAAAAAGGTGGGATATAAATGCAATGTGCTTCAATGTGAAGATGCGTGATGTAATGGGAAGCATTTTGCCTTGGCTTTGAGTAGGCAGTTCCGACCCATCTGCTTTACAAAACACCCATTCCTGACAGAGATGACAACTAATGTAACTGGTTTGTTGATCTGGTTCAACCCACGATTTCGGACTCTCCCTGGGAGCATGGCTAAGGCAATTCTCACGCTAACGATCTGCACTTCAAAGTTTACCACTGTTCATTTGTCTGTCAACCCTCCTGAGCTCACTGGGACTCATTTAGGAGCCTTACAGATTAGTCTTTAAACATTAGCGTATTTTGTATGTGCTCAACACTGGCTCTTTCTCTGATTTTAGATAATGTACAAGATTGCAAGAAATACAGTGCAAGCAATAAAATTAAATAAAAACAGCAATTACAAATAAAACAAGCTGCTTAAAAATTAAGGAACAGATAGTGAAAACTGGTGGGTCTTCAGACCTGCAAAGAAGGGACCAGATAATTAGCTGAAGAAATCTCATTCCAGAATTGCAGAGCCACTGTCAAAACGTACCTTTCCCTTTGAATCATAAACTGCCCTTGGCCATGGGCAAGTGAGATGGGCCTTTATTAATTGCCCAAGAATGTAGCTACAAGCGAAGGCAGTCCTTCACACAACTTGGACCCAAACTCTTTAAAGCTTTAAAAGTTAAATGTTAAAGCAGGCACTTTAAATTGGGCTTGAAAATGCACTGGCAAACAGTGTGGTTAGCACAGTATCGGTGTCATGTGAGCCAACAAGCTGGATGGCCATATTCTGCCTCAGCTGAATTTTCCAAACACTGTAAAGGTTTGTTGTTCTAGTTGCCTTGATCTTGCCTTGTACCCACCCAAAACATTCTTGCTTGGGTCCTTTCCCCACCTGCCTTGGTGGTTCCTATTCGGAACCAGTCACATGCCTAATACCTTTCATTCTTTCCTGCAAAAAGCATCTTAAGAAGAGAAGCAAAGTCTCTCTAACACATAAGCTGCTGATCACAGCATGTCAGCACTATGTCTCCTGCCAGATCCATCTGGCTCATTTGTGCTCAAAGGGCTTTTAAGAAATAGGCTTAATTTACCATTTTAAATCCTAGAAGTGTGGACTTTCTGCTTTGCTCACTTTAAAGTCTGACCAGCTAGAATGCTTTACCTGTTGTGGATGTCTTGCCATTTAAGCCATCCAGATCCAGGCAGAAACTGTGCACTGGGCTTGGCTGTTTTCCATGCCAACCTCTCCCCACCACAAAAACCATTGGCATTGATGTGAACAGGCAACTGAAGCCTTTGGATGAGTCTTTGTGCTTTAGCCTGTGAGACCTGGGATAAGCAAGCCTTTTGCTGGGCCTCTTGAAATAAGAAAGTAATCGGGACGCATATGCTCCCTCTCTTCACCTTGCAGAAGTTAGAGGCTGTAATGAATTATGAACCTCTCAGGTGGCAGGTACCCCACTTACTCAATGACTGTTTCAGGAGTGCCTAATAACAGGCCTTACTGATAGAGACCACGTCCATGTGTATCAAATTCCAAAGCTTGATGGGACAGGAAAGAGGATCAGAAGTATATATCCCTGCCAGCTTAACTCCTGGCTGAGTAGCCTGCACCAGCTGCTGCCACCTCAGGATTGAGACTTCACTGCCTACACCCTTGATTTTCTCTGACTCTTCATCTATGCATTCTCACTAGGCTTGCCACCAGAGGGCAGCAGGAGCCTGGTTCAGGGTTCAAGCCATCTTCCCCACTTTGAGCTGGAAAATCATTACAGTAAATTCTTGGTCTAAGCACTCGGCAGTAACAGCTCTGAACTGGGCGGGCAGGGCGGCGTTCCCTGCCAGGCACTATTACTGGCCTGTAAGCTCTTTAGATCAGTGACCAGTGAAGTGGTAAACTACAGAATCCATCGAGCCAACAAACTAACTGCCTGCTCCACAAACCACTGAAAGAGCCTTGAGACGCACCAAGGGAACACCTTTTATGCTGCACCAAAGGCCAACAAGCAGTCTTCCACCTTCGACCTGCAAGCTTTCTGTCCACGCAAAGGTGGGGCTGCAAAGCAACGCAATCGGGCTTGCGCTATTGCACTCTTTCCTCCAGCTAGAGAAGGGGGGCAGGCTCTGCACTGCCCCTTTTGTACAGCTTGCCATTTGGCCATCTGTGTCACAGGTAATGGAAGCCAGGTAACTGCCACCTGTCATTTCCACCGGACAAGAGGCACGTTCAGTGCTGATGCACTTGGAGGCACTACCTGGAGGCCTTAAATTATGCTATTACAGTCCACCATCTTCCCTTCCAATCCTGCACGGAGCTTTTAGGGGGCGAGTGGGGGCACTGCACACGCTGGGTGCCTGCCTCCTCTTTTGCAGAGTCCACAGCCAGGTCTTAAGTGACAGATCATATTGCATGTCAACACATTTAACCTTCCCAAGCCTTGCATGCCGCTTAGTCCTTGCTCTTAGAGCTGTGGACTAGCTTTGGACTGGATAGCATTCCAGCGTCACTTGCCTCCAGGATGCTCTGAGCAAGCAGCAAAACAGACACGGCAGTACTCTCTTCCTTTCGAGCTTGATGCTGGACGGCAGCATCCTTCTTGTGACACAGAATGAAGTAAAATTTTTCAGATTCACTGAAGGGGGGGGAACCCTTCTGAAACTTGAAATCCACACACCACCATAAGAAACAGCAGCTGCTAGACGCTTCTTACATTTACTCAGCATCCTATCTGCTAATAACAAACTTGTGCTCCAAGAGCAGATCCTCACAGAGCCCAAATGCCAGTAACCACGAGCAAGAGGTAGATACCGAGAGGCTCTGAGGAACCTAAACTTTTGCAGGTGGGTTGCTAATATTTAACAGGGAACTAAAACGGCCCAAATCAGTAGGCAGCATGGTTAGTGGTTACAGAATACTGAATGAATGCAGGGACAGAATGGAACACTAGCAAAGGTTATAGAAAGAAGTACCCCGGAACTGGATTGCTTCACATTGCCCATCCCACTCGTTCCTCCTAAATTCGACCCAAACTATTGGCCTCAGCACCCATGTTGCTGATCACCCCAAATAACAGGTTGACAATCCTATCACTAGAACAGGGACCACAATTCCTTCTTTGCATCACTACCTTTCCTGTCTCCAGCCACCATGAACTGATGCTAGAGCAGAAATGAAGGGCTGAGACGCTTGCAGTGCCACAAGAACTAGGCTACATTATACAACGCCCTGTATGTTTGGAGGCAATAAAGATGAAATAGTTACTAAGACCTGCTGGAGAAGGGCTTTGCAAATACCCTGGACTAACAGGAAAACAAACAAGGGGATCCTAGCTCAAATCATCTAGAACTCACCCTGGATGCAAAAAGTTATGAAACTGGGGCTGTCGCACCTTGGGCACATCAGGAGAAGAAAGGACGCACTGGAGAAGACCTTCATGCTAGGGAAAGCCACCGGCGGCCAGAGAAAGATCAAATATGAAGTGGTTTGGTTCCATAAAGGAAGCCACGGCCTTGACTTTGCACCAGTCACGCAGGACTGTCAAGGACAAGACATTTTGGAGGGAATCGACTCACAGGGTCTCCAAAAGTTGGAGACAACTTGACAGCACACACCAATAACAAAAAGCCTCAGAAGGTACAACTGCACTCCAGTTGTATATTCTCATTCCACTTTAACTGTAATGGCTTCCTCTACAGACCCCTGGGAGTTATAACTTAATAAAGGTGCTAAGAATTTTGTTACAGATGCCTGTCCCAAAACTAGAGTTCTGATAGCTCAGGCTTTACAGATAGATCTGTCTGGGTGATTGGCTGTAGATGGGCAAGGATTTTTGACTCCCAGTTGTTTAAAAACAGTAACAATAACAGGGACTCTCTTTAGCTAAAAAAAAGCAAAAGATCTATATGATCTGAAGAGCAACCAGACTATGGGGACTCTTGAGGGCCTAAAACAATGTCCTTTTTTAACATCTGCTGTCTTATCCCTCTAACCAGAGGTCCTAGCAGTGGTAGTCTGAGGGTTAAGGTTAGACTTTAGAGGCAAAAGCCCAGAGCCACACATAGCAGAATAACAGGGCTCCAAAACAGAGCATGGCTTGCAGAACATGAAGCAAATATACAATACTATCTAAAAAGAGGATCACGTGTAAGTCATTAAGACCCGAGTCTAACCAGGATTGCTCTTGAAGGCACTCATGGTTTCAAGTTCTGTCCCATGGTAGGTCCTTAACAAGATATTGGTTTGTTTATTTAAAATGGCTCAGCCACTTAAGTTCCAATTGCACACACTCCTCTAAGCACAGGCTGTTTGTCAAGCCACGGCACGTACCTGCCTCACAGAAAGGCCAAGAGCCACTGGCATCCCATCGCCTGCCAGCATGCTGCCTCCCAACTGCTAAATGAGCCTCTCATGCAGGAACAACCCTGCAAATGCAGAGGAAATGCAGAGACTCCTGGAAACAAGGAACACCCACATATTTTGGCAATCTATCCCACTGACTTGTAAAATGAGACAAGCAGAAAGCTATAGATTAGGGCTGGGGAATGTGTAGTCTTCCAGAAATACACCCTTCGTAATACAGCCGCTGTCACCTCTGACCATTGGCAATGCTGGCTGGAATTGATGGGACAAGGGCTATAGGTTTTACAGCCCTGAAAGGGGGTATTATTTGCCTCCTAACTTGTAATAAAAGGGAGACATGAGAGAGATCAGCTGCAAGCGTGGATCAGAGGAAGCTTGCATCCCTGGGACAGTCCGTGGCAGAGAGAGTACAAGAGCAAAATCTAAATGCATCTCCATCTCCAATGCTTCTCCCAAAGGGGAGGCTCGGAAAGGGAGGGTCTAAGAGTCCAGTTTGATGAAGACTTTGGGCCGAGAGAATATCTTCAGGGCCTCTTCAATCTGTGATAGCTTCTTCTCTAGAGCAACCCGTCGATTTTGAACACTCAGGCTATCAATTCGCACTGGAAGCAGCAGGAGGTCTTTCAGGAGTTGCTCTTGGCCTATTAAAAGCAAAGGATGAGGAATAGAAGGAAGGATAGTCAGGTTACAATTCAGACTGCCCATCCTATATAAAGAAAGCTCAGTCAAATTATCAATCCCATTCATACAGAACCATGAATGAACTTCCAAAGAAATAGGTCTTGTAAGCCAAGGGGAAAAAAAACCTGGTTTGCAATCTTGGTTTGTAAAAGGCCCAACAAGAGATGATCCCAAATTCAGATGACATGCTAAGTATCAATTTTTTACTAAGTTTAGTCAACTGTTCTAACAACAGTAGCCAACAAATCGCAGTTTGTTCATAGCAAGCAAGGCTTCTATAGAATTCTTCAGAATTTTGGCTTACTACTCCATCTAACTGGCGCTCTAAGCCAGTGATGGCAAACCTTTGAGAGACCGAGTGCCCAAACTACAACCCAAACTCCACTTATTTATTGCAAAGTGCCAATACTACAATAAAAACTGAAAACTGAGGTTTTAGTTTAGAAAAAAAAACCTCACAGCCAGTCCAAGCAAACATATCTACCTACCTACCTATCCATCCTTGGCAACACACTGACCGGCCATGCAAAAGCCTTCCTTGAGTAGCTTTTTCTGCACAGCTCAACATTTCTGCCCATTCTAATAGACACATTCCAACCATCAAAATCATGCCAGGACACCTCATTTTTCTAACCCTAACCCAGTGATGGTGAACCTTTTAGAGACCGAGTGCCCAAACTGCAACCCAAAACCCACTTATTTATCACAAAGTGTCAACACTGCAATAAAACCTGAAAACAGCCGGTCCAAGCAAATATATCTATCTATCAATCTATCTATCTCCTTGGCAGCGCACTGACCACCTAGGCAAAAGCTCAGATGAGTTGCGGCTAATGTGTCACGGCTGGTGACATCATCGCCTGGTGCCACTACTCCTTTCCGAGCATGTGCATGGCCCCTATCTGCGCTGTTATCCAATGCCTGGCTCCTGGGGCAATGCTGGGGTGACTCGGCTCGTGTGCCGACAGAGAGGGCTCTGCGTGCCCACTGTGGCACGCATGCCATAGGTTTGCCACCACTGTGCTAAGGAGATGGTAACAGCATTCCTTTTTTAGGAATGATTGTCTATTGTCCGATTAATTAGGGGCACCCACTTAAACATGCAGAAGGCTGCGGTTGGGCCAGCGGGTCCCCGCTCCTGTGATAGCTGTTCCCAGAGACTCTCCCCGCAACTATAAGCTTGTCTCCAGTTAAAATGCTGCAGAGCGACAAAGGGCCATGCAGACCAGCGCCGTACGTCCTGCCTCTCTCTCAGGCCTTACTCTTTTGAAGGCTGCTCAGTGTTTCCAGCCGCTGGTTCTCCGGCATCCTAGCATGGCCAGGTGGCATGTCAGGGTCAGGCGTGTTGCGCTGGCGCTCTTCTGCCTCTTTGCGCCAGTGGTCCTTTCGCTCAATCAGGCTGGTCACAGGAGAGAGAGTGTATCAATCAGAGCAAGCAGAGGACGATGGGAAAAAACAAGGAGCAGCCGGCAGCCGGGCCTACTCTGATTATTTTTGGACCCATCGGTGCATTTGGGAACTTGAGAAAATACTGTTGGCACCATCTCAAAAAGCCAAACCAGTAGATCACTCTTTTTGGCATCTACTTGTTGTGTCTACGGATCTTAAATTGCACTTTATTCAGCAAACCTTTCATTTCATACTGCTGCAACATCTCTTTAATAACAACTTCCCCGTTTCAGTTAATTGTTGTAGGTGCAATACAGCTAATGCGACATGTAAACATATGTCTTGACAATGTCAGTAGTTGTTTCTTTTTGTGGAGAGGTTGTAAAATAGATGCATTTTGTACCGGAACAGTCTTTTATATTCGCTCATCTACATTCTCCTTTAAATCATTTATCTGCTTCATTCAATTATTTTTATTGTGAATTTCAAAATGTTAAAACAAAACCAAAATGAAAAAGTGAAATTAGTCTACATTACCTAAGATTCAGACTATTAGTTGCAATACATATGAAGTGTATACACACTTACATATGACATGTATATAAGAAAGTATATCATTCCCTGTAGAAGTAATCATGCATAAGTTTCAACAAATGCAAGTCATTATTCCTGTATTCATCCATGTTTTGGTAGTGACTAAATACTACCAATTCAAATATTGAAAGGATCAAGACAACTTTAGCTCACTGCAGCACTGAGGGTGGCTGTTTATTCTTCCATGTTGTGATATCACGTGTTAGCGGGCATAGAGGCACAGAAAATTCATCTATGTTAACCATGCCCTAGATTCTAAGAAGCAGGTAGGTACTTAAATAGAACACGTACATCCATAAATAGATGTATCTTGTACCAGAAATATCTTTCCTATCTTCTAATCTCCTCCCAAAAGGCAGCTGCTGGGCATTGCCAAAAGATTTGGTGATAGAAGCATCAGCTGTATCCCAGTAGGTACATCCAACAGTTACCTAACTTAGCCTGGCCATTACAAAAGAGGTGGTATCCTAGACAGGTGGAACAGAGAGTTTGCTGGATAAAGCACAGCCTGTGTCTCCAGTGCTGCATACATATACAAATCCATGTACACAGATTATCAAAAGGAAAAAAGCAATGTTTTAAAGTTTTGCAGGTGCCCACAGATGCCAGTGGGGGTACCACTGGAGACCCCCCATCCTGTACTGCAAGGAAAAGAGCACAGCCTGGCTTTCCTTTCAGGACCATACAGAGCAGCTGAGAGAGACGGCTGCATGCTGCTCCGCCCTTTAGACTCTGTGGGGCAGTACACGCAAGATACTTGTCATCATCCTCCATTTCTTCCCCTACAACACCCTTTCCCAAACTGGTGCCCTCCAAATGAGCTGGGGCAAAACCACTGGCTAGGGGAGGCCAGCCTACAAATCCTGCCAAGTCCTTCTATGGCCAGAGCTACACTGGCATGTCAAGGCTCTAACAGAAAGCACAACAATGCAAAACCAGTCAAGTGGGGACTGGGAGGATCCGATTTTTAAAAATATTTTGAGAAGGACTAGGAACATGCACAGAGGAGAAAAAGAGGGACACAATTCCCAGGAAGTTGTACCCAGCTTGTCAGGATCTGCAGATGGTCAGGGTCACTTCCAACCCTGGGTCCAGCATCCACCACCATTTCTGCCAGGTAAACTGCTGTGCCTGACATGTGGCAGGACAGCATACTTGGCCCTGAAGAAGCACCTGCCAGCAAATACAGAACAGGTGAGGTCAGCAAGATGTATACGCACTAGCGGGGGACGTGGCCTTTCTGCTTGGCGTCGTACTCCTCCTGCTCCTTCTGTTTGTGCTCCAGTACTTCAGAGAGCGATTGCAGGGAACGTGAACGCCGCTGCTGGGCTCGCTTGGCATTCTGGGCATTGTGGCTGATGAAGTCCACCTCCCTGCTCTTCTCCTGGATTGAAAGGAAGGGGGAAATATACAATGCTGAAGGGCAAACAGATTCGGCTGCCAAACGCCAAGGGACTCTGCCGGTGATGGCACCCCTAGAAATAGGAACAGTGGGTGGACTGCGGGGACACAGGAAGCAGAAAACTGATGGCACCCGCCCTGTGAGGTACTGTAGGACTTTCCATCCGCCAGTCAGTGCCCACCTCAGTGATCCCGTTCCGTGCTTGCGTGGCTGCTTTGTCCTGGGCAGGACTGGGAGAGGTTGATCTGCGTGGGTGAATTCCTGTGCCGCAACGAGAATAGGCTCGCAGATACCTCTGGGCCTCTGGCATTGGAGGAACAGGACCCTCCTGAAAAAGACCAAAGGAGAAAGGTAGAGGAGGGGGAATATTACAGTGCTCCCAGAAAGGGCTCCACAAGGAAGTCTATGGCCTGTGCTATTCACAAATTAAACTCAGCTGAGTTTATTCTTATGTTCACCTTGATCCTGACACGATCTTTGAACCAGCTCAGTTACTCTGACTCAGGAAAGGCACTAGTCAGGCACAAAGCACCACCTGGACCAGGTGAATCAGAGGCCTGGTTGAGAGATTTTTGACCCCCTAGGCTGACATACTCTGGGCTTTATCTCCCTGGAGGAGAGGCCTGCCCTGCGTCTTGGGTGAGATCCAGAAGGGGGATTGTAAGGCATCTACTTGCATACACGGGGCATGAAGACCCAATTGCGGATCACATCATTCACTCCACTGGCTGAATCGAGCAGTGAGGAACCGCATTCCCTCAGTGGGTATTTATCAGAGCCACAATGCTGGCAGTGGTTGAGAATGAAGCCAGAATAAAAAGTAAGTGAGGGTCACAGGCCAGTGGAAGAGCACACATTGTGCATGCAGGTAGTCCCAGGTTCTACCCCTGGCATCTCCAGGTAGAGCTAGAACATTTCCTGCCTGAAACCTGGGAGGGATATTCAGTCTTCACAATGCTGAACTAGAAGGACTCAAATTATAACTCAGAATAAGGCAGCGTCCTATGACACGTAATGATGAAGGTAACTCTGGTATAGGAGAGATAGTGCTGGCTTCAGGAACAAAGCTCATGTGGCAAAAAGACCAAAACAAATAAAAAAGCAAAACACAACACGCCTTACAAGACATACAAGCACCTACCTCTGAGAGGAAAGACAAGACCCTACACCTTGGACGGCGTGACGCATGCTGGAATGCTCTAACAAGCTGCCTTGTGCAAAAACCCAGTCTGTGACACTTTCATCCCAAGTCAGGGGGCAGGTGAGCACAACAGCCAGGGCCTTCTCAGTGACCGCACTGCAACTCAGGAATGCCCTTCTAGTGGAGAGCTGGCTGGTCCTTAATGGATCTGGCCCATCCTTTCCACCCTGGTGCCACCGAGATGGTTTGGACCACACCTGCAGCATTCCTGAACACTTGCCCAACTGGCTAGGGCAGAGGAGACCTGAAGCCACAAGTATGTGAAGGGAACTTAGTTGGGGAAGGCTGTTTCAGACAATACACTGCAAATACCTGCTTTTGAAGCATGATCTTATTGCTTTCATAATGACTGAGTTCACACAGAAGATTGACTACTAGTTGCATGTGGTTTGTGGATGAACCAGGTTTGTTGCACTATGGATCACTGTGTGAATCCAACCTCTCTACCAAAGCATGGTACATAAACCCAAACAGCCCATGAAGAGGACCCATGATTTATTGCTGGGTTGTGAACTGCAGACTGTCGTTAACAAACTATGATCTGTTAGAATGGCTGGGTTCATGCAATGCAACAACCCATACTCCACCCTGAATGTGGGTCATCGTGCTGTTTGAATCCAGCTATTGGCTGCTACATTCAGAGTATATTGTTTTTAACAAAGAATATTTGCAATTGCATTGCAGCCTTTCCCATACTCCAGATGTACTGAATTAGAACTCCCCCAGCCAGAACCTATTAGGTTAGAAAAAGGTGCCATATCGTATTTTCCTTCTGTAAACTGCCTTGAACAGAACAACAAGATATAAACATATTTTAAAAACAAAAAACAGGTCTATATGCCTCAGTGCTGGCTACAAATGACCTTTCTTTCAGATGGATGCCTTTGCTGATATTTCTGCATGAACTGCTGGAGCCCAAGCTCAAGATCGTCTACATCTGCTCTTTATCCAAGCTATTTTCACACACACAGTCCCTCTCCCTCTCCCTCCCCCCTGCCATGTGTTTGCATGCCTTGCCCAACTGCAGCTGAGCAGAAGGGGGAGAAACTACAGGGCAGCTTGGGATCAAACTACCTGCAACTTGGTCTTCACTTTGGATTCCACATTGTTGTACTTCTGAGACTTCCACAGGGCTTTCACAGGCTTTGGCTGGCCGAGCTCCCGAGCCTGCTCCTTCTCACGGCATTTCCTCTGGATCTCTCTCATGCGCCGCAGGTTCTCCTTCTCGTGGTCCTTATGACCCCGGCCTGCACAGTAAAAGAAATAAAGACTGCCTTTAAAGATCACATGGAAGCTGCAGCAGCCAAACTGACAAGACCAAAAGGCACAAGCATGAGTCTGACCAGCCTGCACCGCCTGCATGTATGTTTCTAAGCAAGATTCAAAGTACAGGTTCTAACCTATAAAGCCTTACACTGCTTAGGGCCTAAATAGTCAGTGAAGCACCTCTCTCAATATGCACCTAACCTGGATGCTGTGATAGTATCTAATGCTGCTTTAAATACTCCTGCTAAGGAAAACTTAGAAGATGACAAGAAGGGAGAGGGTCTTTTCAGTGGTGGCCTCCAGTTATACAATACTCTCTGCACTAAAGTCTTCCTACTGCCAACATCACCATTTTCTGACCCAAATTAAGCCTTTCCTTCATTCCCAGGCATTTGATGGCATATCATGAAACTTTTAATATCAGCTGTTCTATCAGTTCTTGGAATTTTGCTGTAATTTTTAAACTTATTTAAATTTGGCTTTAAATATTGCATGTTAAAAGTTTTACAGTATGTGTTTATATTATGTCTTTTATATTATGTCGCATTTTGGAGTTGCAATTTTTGAGAATTTCCCAAATACCTGTGGCTGTTGTGATACAGAAATAAAGTTCATGCATGAATGAATAAAAACAGAGCAAGTTCAAAATGTGACGCTGAACACTGGCACTGGCAGACTCGCAGCTGCCCCACTTACACTTGGCTGCCAGCTCCTGGCAGAAGGAGATGCCATCTAGTTGCAGCAGGCTTCCCACCGTGCCTTTCTGTCCCTTTTCCAAAATGTCCTTGGCGTTGGGCTTAATCCTTGGAGGATGAGCGAGGCGAGCACTGTAGCAAGTGGGATAGAGGCTGGCCTCTGGAGGAATGGGACCAGGGAGCAAATCTAGCTTCAAAGCATTTCCTTCCAGCCTGCCTCGTGCTAAGGAAAGAGAGAGAGAGGTAAGAAAGTGACTGTAGCTGTGTAGCCTTTACATGAAGAAGACACCAGGTTCAGTCTACAGGGCTTTCAATTTCAAAGAGCTGCAAATTGTTGGTAAAAAGAGACCTCTGGCAAAGTCACTGCCAGTACCATAAACAACAGAAAAGGTTTGACCTGGTAGAAAGAAACTTCCTTTGATTCCGTTTCCTAAGATAGAGAGAATTTAATCTCCTTTTCCAGACCCATGTAAGTCTTCATCAGTGCCAGTGCTGGCTTCTCTTCCCTGCTTCTTCCAACACAGCCTCCAGGACCAAGCAACTACCCTGTAACAGAGGGGAGCCTTCTGCAGCCCTCAGCATAATTTCAAAAGCCCTCTGTAAGAGATCAGTTCACACTCAGGCAAAAACAATCTATCCCTGGCAGCTTTCTGGATGAACAGAAAGAAGGGGAAGAACAAGCATAGGTAGCAGAGGGAGGAAGAAAGAACACAAATCAGTGGTTTATTTCGTATTTATTAAACTTATATTCCACATTAATAGTCCCGTAGGATTGTCTAGGCATCCTTCCAACCTGGTTGAAAGGTAAGGGAGAGAACAGGGGTGGCCAAGAGAGAGGAGAATACAAAAAGACTGAGAGAGAGAAGACAGAGAGAGAGAAAGAGAGAACAAAAAGGGTGTCTGAAAGGCAGAGAATACAAATTCTCTCTGCATACAGAGAGGGCGGGGAGGGGGATGTCTCTGCATTTCTTGGCTGGGGTGGGGTAAGGAAGGACCACACTTTTCCCCATGCCAAGTGGAAGCTAACTGATTATGAACTGAGGTGATTAAGACATGTAATAACTCTGGGACTGGGCAACACACTCACCAGATAGAGGGCGTCTGTAATAATCTGGGCAAAGGGTAGGATCTGGAGGAATGGGCCCAGTGATCCTGGAAGGCCCCTCAGACATCTCGGCCTCAGTTCCAGACTGCAGCCCCAAAATGCAAGATCCCCTTTTCCGTAGGCTCGCTGAAAGCTGGAACAACTTCTCAGTCTTAAGGCACAGGGAGCTGTAGGGAAGCTGCTACAAAGAAAAGGCAATATAAGAATAGATTTGTTGAATCTGAACATAGACCTTTCTAGTTCAAAATTAGCCCTTCTCTTCCTCATGTGCACCATTCCATACATTTCTGTCACGTCCCCCTTTACTTGCCTTTTCTCTAAGCAAATGAGACCCAAATTAACATCAATTGCCATTGGCCACATGAGCTGGAAAGGCTACTCATTTCCCATTCCAATGGGAACTCTTCCCCACAATGGACTTGCTTCAGCCCCCAAATCATTTGGATTGCCCTTTTTGTGCCTTTTCCAGCTACACTCATCACCCCTTAAATCATTCAGCAGGTATCCCAGGCATGGTTTTCCCCAGGCATGTTAGTAACATTATATTTTTGCTGCTCTTCACTTTTTATTGGCTACTGGCTTTAATTTGGTTTCATGAGCTTGAATGAATTTATTCTTCATTACTTGTTTTTCTCAGTTCCAATCTGAGCTGTTTTTATGTTGTTGTTTCTTTTCATATTGGTATTTGGCATGTTAATGGACTGCACTCTGCTCACAGAACTATGCCTACTGAGCCCTTTAAAAGTACATAGCAATCATGTCTAAGAAATGTTCAGGTTAGATATTGCAAATATAGTCTTGGTATGGCTGCCTATGAAAAGCATCTGCAAACTGCAAGTCGTTTAGGACACACCTAGATTGTTATCAACCCAGTGTGGCAATTATATTTAACTGGTCTTTATCTTCACTGAATTCTCACTTGCTTATAAGAGCAATTCAAAGAGTTCGCCCTATAAAGCCCTAAATAGCTTCAGATTGGATCACCTTCTCCTCTCTCAACTAGCCTTCTTCCAGATATTCCCAGCATCAGAGGTTAAGCAGGTGAGATCAGCTTTGACCAGGAGAGTGGAAAGTCCTCTTGATACTTCCATACTCGGCTGCAGCCTGATGGAATGGCTGGCGCCCTGAGGCAGCTGAGGGAGGAGCCAGACTGAGCAGGCCTCTCAACAGAACCGGTGGTCTGCTCCCCATCTCTCCCTCTGGTACAAGCTGATGAAACAGCTGCCGTCACGTGACAGGGCAGGAGAAACCCAATGGAACTGGTCCCCCATCGGAGCTGGTGGAAGTAGTCCCTTCATCTCTGAGGCAGCGTGGTGAAGGAAACCTCCAAGGAGACCACTTGTGAGCCATTTGTGTGTGCATTCAAGTAGGGAGTGGGTGGAAGCATGCCTTACATCACCACATTATATGAAGTCTTACACAAAGCTCTAGAGTGGTGCCTACACAGACAGACGCAACTGTCAAGGCTCTAACACAAAGCCAGGCATCCCAAGAGCTGTCAAAGTGACCTAGCAGGACGGAGAAAGCAAGAAAATCACTCAAACATCTGGCTTCTTTCTAGCACATCCCATGAGTTGCTTTCTGAGCACATTTTAAACCAACAACTAAAGTGAGGCAAACTCAGGTAGAATGTTACTGTTTTGTAAAAGGGATGCGTGAAATCCAAAGCTAAAACAACTGTGGCCAAACTTATCTCATCAATGAGGTTAAATGCCTTTCTTCGTACTTCTGTTAAAAAAAAAAAAAAAACACTTAGCAAGGCACTCTTGGCCTCATTCCAGGTACAATACAGAGACATGTTTATTCTGTCCGTTTGGAGGGCAAACGGTTCTTAGAAGCCAAGTACAAACAAGCTGCCGGAAGATTGCTTTGCCCTAAATCAGAGGAACTGTGGTATATGTAAGTGAAGAAAAGGAGGCTTCTTGAGATAAGTTTCTGCATGCAATCAAGGGACAGGTGGGTCAAGTCCTGGGAGAAACAGCTGGAAAGGAAAATTCTGCCTGCAAAGAAACCATTTTGGTAGACCTCAGGCAGTTGTGGCCTTCTGCAACAGGTGCCCTTCTGATGTATTGACCAGCATCTCTTTCCATTGTTTATTCCATCTAGGAATGATGGAAGTTGCAGTCTAATACATTTGGGGGACACGAGACTCAGGAAGTCTGTGCTACAGCAGTGAAGATATCATAAAGACCAATTAAGCTTGTGCCCACAGTAGTACATAGGGATGCAATCTGCACCCACTTCCAACCTCCATAAACACAGGGCTGTTTTACACAACTATGAAATTCAGAGCTGTTCTGCCTGCATTAGGGCACACTTGCCCCGAAAAACATCCCCCCAAATCTTTTGCCACAAGCACAATCTTGCTCTGTGTGATTTTGTCTCACTCCCAAACCTACACTTGGATGCTCCGGCTGCATTGCTGACGAAAAGGGTAGCTTGCCACTAGAGCAAAGAAGCAAGCCATTTTCCACAACCATGGCTGAATCCAGACAAGAAAAGCGACCACTCAAACAGAATGCTTGTACCAACTAGCCATTAAATTTCATCAGATGGGAGGCAAACATAAGAGATATGGGTTGTTAGGCAGCATTTAAATTAAATTATTCCCTTTCTTCCCAATGGTAACATAGTCCATTACTAAGCATAATATTATACTGAAGCCTAATGTCTTTCTAAACCAGAGACAGGCTGACTTCAGTTCTGGGTGGTATGTTTTTAAAAACAAAACAAAAAACGAGTCTCGTGACCAACTGAAGCATGTTATATCACTCAGGTTTTCTTCAAAGCTAAGACATAACTGTAAATGATAATGTCTTATCCAATCTGCTGTCCTCCAGATGTTTTGGATTCGACCCTCAACAGCCCCAGCCTGCATGGCCAATGAAAAGAAACACTGGTACTATAATCTAAACCATCTGGAGGGCCCCTGGTTAGGAATAGTTCTTAAAGATTTCAAATCTCCAGTCAGTTATACAGCTAACTAGAGCACCTTAGGCCAGGCGCATTCTCTCTGACTAACCTATTCAACAGGGCTGCTGTGTAAATAAAAGGAAGTGGGGAGAACCACATGTACTATCTTGAGTTCCTTGGAGGAAAGACATGATATATATATATATATATTAAATGCAAGAATAATAAATAAGCTGTGTTAAGTATGACATTTTCTTAAAGAAATATTAGGCCAAAGTCTTAACCGAGAACTCTGTGCAAGAACCAAGCATGAAGTAGTCTACAAAGAAAGTCCATTGCAAGACTAATCTATTTTCAACAAACTTTTAAATAGCTGCATTCTTTTACAGTTTTTGTCTTATTAACAAAGTCCTGCTAGCATAACAGAGTGATCTAATGCATATTTATTTAGAAGCACAGCCCCATTGCAACTATTGAAGTTTAGGAGTTTAAAAATACAATCTGAGTTTAATTATCTAATGGTATTCCCCCCCCCTTCTCTTTAATCTCCAGCACTGATTCGACTCTCCCTTCAATTTGTTCTAAAAATCAGCATAAAGTCAGTTAGCAGAACCATCAAGGTAGGACTATGGAGGCATCAGCTTGGGGTCCCAATCAACAGAATGTGCAGAGGGCTGCCTTATCCTATTTTGAAGTAATATAAACTACCATCCAAAAAGCGGAGACTTTGATTAAGATAATTAATAGAGCCACTGTGATGCAATGTTTGCACTATGGGATGGGACTGCGACCTGGGAGATCTGGGTTGCAGCCCCCCTCCCTCCATGAAACTCACCGGGTAACTTTGGGCCAATCACCCAGTCTGTCTAGCCTACCTCGCAGGTTTGTTGTGAGGATAAAATGGAAAGGAGGAGGACCATGTAAACCACTTGGGTTCCATGCAAGAGCAGAAAAATATAGAATATAAACGTAATAAATAAATATTAACGGCAATAATTAAGAAAGTCCAGCGTCTGAACATTACCCAACTCCACCAGTGCACCCAGCCAGCGTGCCACAGCCCAGGCAAAATCTGGAAACCCGTGGAAAGCGGTTCTAAGACGGCGCACCATCCAACTTCAGCAACGGACTGTTTGCCCACTCCAACCAGCTCCACGAAATCACCTAATTACGGGGCTTCCCAACCTGGGTTAGCGAAGCAAGCCTCTCCCTGCCTCCCTCTTTCTTCTCATAGGGGCATAAACGACGCCGTGGAGGACTACACCGTAGCCTGTTTAGACTGGCTTGCCACAGCCGGTCCCGGATGCCCTCGGGAAGCCCACAAGCGGGGCGTGAGCGTGGCAGCCCCTCCTGTTGTGCACCCACCCACAAGATGCCCCGTTCCCCCCACTTACGTTTCTGGGCGCTCCTACCCAGCAGCACGGCGTGGCTCCTCGGGAGGGAGGGAGGAAGAGGAGCGGGGGGGAGCGAGAGTGAGCGTGTGTATTTATGGGGGGGGGGGGTCAAGTCCCAGGCAGTTATTCATCCCGCCTCTCGTCTCTAAGCAACAGTAGCTTCCTGGAGCAGTTTGGGAACGGAACAGAGACTCCTGGGAAGTGTAGTTTTTTCAGCTCCGGAAGACAGCACTGGGGAGAGCGTCACGCACCTGTGGCACAATAGCGTTTCATAGAACTATAGAGTCAGAAGGGGCCATGAAGGTCATCGGGCCCAACCCGCTGCTGTTGCAGGACACATCCTTGCAGGAGAACTCTCTGCACCTCTCTTACCTCCACCTCTCCAAGACTTTTCTAGAGTTACGATCAATTTATGCAGAACCGTAAGAAAGAATATGTGCTCCAACAACCGCAATAGAACGGAGAATGTCTGGTGGAAACCTCTCAGTTTTCACGTTCTCTTTGTGCCTTCTAGGGAAGCGAAAAGAACTGCTCAACTTTTAGTAGTTTTAAAATAAATTATTTTGTTGTTTTAAACACAGATCACACAAAAGTTCCTTCAAACTTCATTGGTTAACAGTATGTGCTAGGCTGTTGCCCCGACAGAATCCAGCCGTCTTTTTAAGGCAAATATTTAAGCGTGCAATCCTATGCAAAGTTCTTACTTACTTGGGAATAAATTGAACTGAATTCAAGGAGCTTCAGAACACACATAATTGACCTTTGGTATGTGCCTTTATTGTTTGAATTGTGTTATGTTGCCTCTGTTGCCGCTATTTTGATTTATTGTTTAAGTAAGAGGTTTGTTGTTGTATTTGATGTACAAGTTAATAGGTATAACTTTCATAGGTAAGATCATGTAATCATTGACACATAAGCCAGAGAAAAACCCTCTTTTCTAGAAATCAGCATGTGTGCATCCTTGAAATGAAGCTGAAATTAACCAGGCATCATTCCAGAGAGGGCCAGTTGACACTCTACAAAACAGCAGCTCAAACAAAGGGCAGTTCCCACCAACCCTCTTCCCATCCTCCTTCTATGTAATAGCAGCCCACTTCCTTCTGAGCATCTTCTTTCTGCTTTAATATGCAAATGGAAAAGATCATGCCATTGTAATTTTTTAACTCTGTGATGTATAAGAAAGTGTTAAATGTGTATGTCCTTTAAGGATCAATGTACAAAAAGGCAAGTTGAGGACTGCTCAATGAACCATATTGGAATAATTCAGTGGCAGTCAGTTCTTCTTGAAAATAAAATGTTAAAAGAAAACTTTCCCCTGAAGTGTAATTTGAGCACTTTGCACACACACCTGCTTTGGTCACTGTACTGATGAATTATTTTTTCGCTGCTTTGAATATGTTGTATATATAAAGATGATTATAAATATGACTTAAAAAATAAAAAATATTTTACAAAGGTAATTGGATCACAGAGCATATACTGTATCTCATGTTCTTATTCAAGGCATGCATAATTAAATAATTACAGTATGTTGTTGTAATTTGTGTAGCGTTGGACTCGGAAGATCCAGGTTCTAGTCCTCATTGAGCCATGAAGTTCACTGGGTGACTTTGGGCCAGTCACTGACTCTTAGCCCAACCTGCCTCACAGGCTGTTGTAATGATACATTGAGAGAGGTGGAAGACAATGTAAGCCACCTTGTGTTTTTTGTAGTATGAAAAATGTTAGAATATACATGTAAGAAATGAACAGCTCTCTCGGATCGGTTGGTATTATTGATATAATAAAGAACTTTTTAAAAAAATCTTGCTGATCATTTGTTGTCTCTTGCAGTTAGGCAAATGAATCTGGGCCAGTCAGGGTTAAAGTCTCTGGTGTTGTTATTTCCACACAGCAACAGAAGAGCTGAAACTAGGAATGGCTTGCTTTGGGCCACCAAGTGAATTCGTGACAAGGAGTACATTCTTAGCAAAATTCAGAAGAGTGCACTGGTTCTAGGGCTGTCAGGCTTCAGTCCCAGAATCCAACCTTCTTGAACCTAATGTCTGCATATGACTCCCATCATCCCTGTGCATTGCCCATGCCGGCTGGGGCTAATGAGAATTGTAGTCCATCTGGAGGACCCTACATTGAAGATAGCACATACAAGGGAGAAAACCCCACTGAAGTCAGTGAAGATACTTCTGTGCAGACCTGTATAGAATTGCACTTGTGACTTATTAACTGTGATTGCTGTACAGAAACTGTACAGAACCTCCACAATCATTGGATTAATACTAGTTGCAGGAAGATCTTTCTGTTCTGCTGGATGACATCCCAAAAGCATGCTTGGGATATCGGAAACTATGAAAAACTGGAAACAGTGGGAAACTGGATGCGAGACTAGGTGGAACTTTGGTCTCATCTAACAAAGGTCTACTTACGTTCTTAGGATCTTTAGCTCGGTTGCTTAGCAAACACAATGCTATACAGTAGTGGTGGCGAACCTATGGCACATGTGCCACAGCGGGCACGCAGAGCCCTCTTTGTCGGCACACAAGCCAAGTCACCCAAGCATCGCCCCAGCAGCCGAGCATCGGAGAACAGCGCACATAGGGGCCATGCGCATGCTCGGAAAGGAGACGTGGCACCAGGCAATGATGTCACAAGCTACGACTCATTAGCCGTGACTCATCTGAGCTTTCGCATGGCTGGTCAATACGCTGCCAAGGATATATACCGTATTTTTTGCTCTATAAGACGCACTTTTTTCCCCCTCAAAAGTAAGGGGAAATGTCTGTGCGCCTTATAGAGCGAATGTATGTGCGCCTGACACCCGGGACGTTGCCAGCTGCCTGCACCACGTGGCACCACCTGGCCAGCACGCACTTGGCGCACCCTGCTCCGCCCCCCCCCGACGCAAGTGAGAGTTGTGCCGCTCAGGGGGAGGCGTGCGGAGAAGGAGGAGCCACGGGATTTAACCCACCGGCCGCACAGAGAGGAGAGCACAGAGAGACGGACTGCTCACTCCCACCACCTGGGAAGACCTGCCGCTGCCGCGCCGCCCGGAAGACCACTGCCAGCACGCTGCCGGCCCCACGTGGCACCACCTGGCCGGCATGCGCTCAGTGTGCCCTGCTCCGCCCCCCTCCTCCGGCGCAGGTGAGAGCTGTTAATCACAGGCCGGTGTGTGTTTTCAAATGGCAACCCCTCTTTTAATGAAGCCCATGGGGAAGTGATGGGGAATGTGCCTGTGATTATCAGGAAGCTTTCCATGGATCAGTTATCTGTTAGTTGATCAGACACACTTTTTTTAGGATCAGTGGATATTTGAACAGCATTACCTTCGTGTATGAAGTTTATTCTTCAAAGGCTACTCAGTCCGCTGTGTGTTTGATTTACCGTAAAATATCTCATTTTTTGTCAGAAGTTTTTTTCTATTATTTACTTGTAGGAAAGTGTGGACATTACTGGCTTTTTTAGATTTGTTATTGAATTGTCTGCGGCAGCCCTTGTATAACTGGTGTAGATTGTGGATTCCTTCAATAATTCCACTACTGACTAAGAAAGTGATGTCAGTGATTGTGAGCAACAGAGCTTCATAAATTCTGACTCTAGTGATGATGAGTTCTATGGGTTCAACGAAAACTAGAAGAGTACTCGAACTTAAAGTCTCTCTTTTGTTAATGACAGTGATGATGGTTCTCAATGCCACTGTTGACTGCTGTTCACTTCACAAGGTTGAAATACGGTATTACTGTATTCTGTTATAGTTTATTAAATAGTTTAGTAAACCATTTG